ACGTCACTATACGGGGCACCACTGTATATTTTTAACTTCGGGAATTGTACAGTGGAGTCTTGACCTATGAATGGCCCCACTTACAGACTTTCCGACCTACGTACAGCTCCAGCTGGAAAATTTTGGATCGACTTGCGGCCGGAGCTTCGATGTACGGAGAAAAAGGGCAGGGAAAAATTCAGGTTGGGAGTTTAATTCCTCAGTGTGCCTCCTGGGAGAAGAGGTGGCCTCTGTAGCCTTGGGCAAGATGCACAGTCCCAAGTTACACCTAACATAAGGGAATAATAAACCACTTTTGAATATTCTGTACCTAGAAAACTCTGGCAAGGGTCGCAGTAAGTCAGAATTCATTGGGCAGCATATGATCATTTTATGTGATTGTAGCTTTCGTGTGAATCTTTACATAAGCTATTTATCGCCAGAATTCAGCACAGCCAGGCTTTCTCTTAGGTTGGGTGAAGTAGCTGTTGCAAGCAGCAGGGCTTGGATGTCATGAAAGGGCAGTAACCTGGTGGTGATCTAATTTGTGTTTCTGGACTTTGAAGGTTTTTGATCTGGTGGCAAAATAACTAGCAGGACTTTCTAAACCGAGCACTTTAACTTAAAGAAGAGGCATCAATTGATAACCTTCTTTCAGGCACCGATGTTTCTTGAGCTGGCCCTTAAACTCAGAGCCAGATACTGAGCGCTGAAAATAAGTGTCTCAACTTGTGGCAATTCACATCCAAAGTTTACACTGAGAGGATTAGTACTATGATAAATATGCAACAGGTTGCATTTACAGTATCCTAGTATGTAGCTTGCTTTGTTTGCAAATAGATCTGGCACTGGGTGGACAATAAATTTACCCTATATTTTACAAATCTAATTGGAAGGAGGAATTATTTGACTGTTGAAGATGCATCTAAGGATGTTTCAGTCAAAAAGTACTGTTTTGTCACTGAAGTCATTGGTACTTTCCTGCCATTCAGATGACATAAGGATTATCTTGGTATGTATAAGGTACAAACTCTACGTCTTTCCCTTCTAAGCTGCTGCCTGGGAAATTTGGGAAGTTACAATCTAAAAACAAAAATCTGCACACCTCTAAGCCAAACCACTCTGTTAATTTTTTTTTCAGTCATCAGGTTTTTCTCCTTCCCGTGCTTTTCTTCCCATTTATTTTATTCCTAAAGGTCAGCTGTAACAATTTGTACTTTTCCTTTCTCATTTTGTGACTGAACCATTTTAGCTTTCTTCATTTTGCTTGTTTTATAATTTCTTGGTCTTTAATAATTTCTCTTTAGTGCTTTTTATGTTGGTCATCACATCAGCCCAATAAATTCTTAGCTTCCTGAGATAAATCTGTATTCCAAATGTTTCTGGCTTTTACATAACAGCATTTTTAATGAAACAAAGCAAGCCAATTTGAAAATTTAGGGTAGTGAAAGAAGTACCTGCTGTGACACTGACATACAATCAGCTTTTAAGAACTTTCCTCATCTATTGACAAGTTATCTATAAGAACTGTTTCTGCCCTGGGTTGTTACCCTTATAGCTCTTTAAGATTGCATGGAACATTTTGGAGGGGAGAAACTTTGCTATCTGCAGGTTGACCCAAATGTGGAGCAGTTTATTGTAGTTAATGTTTCCTTCTGATTCTTGGGAGTTGTTTGTTTGTTATGTACTCCTCTTCCTTAAATAGACTGGTTTAGTAGAAAAAGAAACTGCTCAGTTGTATGTGCGTATTTGATTTCTCCAGATAAATATTGATTTGTCCTCTCTTAAAACATTCTCTGCCCTTTTCTTTTTATTCCTCTCTCCTACATGGTTGTTTTTCCCCTGCTAGACATCAGTTCTGAGCAAAATTTAAAGCAATCAGGAGAGTTTATGTCTGCTTGGCCCCCCACTGCTTTCTCAGGGGCCAGCGGGAATAATAACTAGGGAAGGAGTTTGCTCTGTGTAACCTTTGCTTGGGAACAAAGTTGCTCCACTGTGTCTGCACTTGTCCTTTGGCTTGCTTCATAGCTGGAAGTCTTTACTGAAAAGCAAAGGCAGCGGTGGGGAGAGCAAAAAGGAAAAGGAGTGTGATTGTTAGAGTGGTTTAAAGGGAATTGCCAGTCAAAACAAGCGTTCAACATCAACATACAAATTTCTAATTAGATGTGCTATTAGCAGAAGAAGCCTAGATGGGTTGACTCAGAAGTAAGTGTCAGGGAGTTCATTGAAACTGACTCTCAGGTAACTGACCATTGCAATGGAGTCCACATATGGCTTCAAAGCCTTTTCTTGAGATTTGCTGCTTAAAATAAACAGAAGAGAATAAAGAAAAGCTGACAGCACACCGCTTCTTTTAAGAAACCAACCAACCAAATGGTGCAGAAATGGTCCTGATCCTGATCCATGGCAGTTTAAATCAAAGAACAATAATCTCAAACACGGGATTCAAATATGCCTTTAGGATCTTCATAATCAGAGCTATCTTAAAATCTGCAATTTTAATTGTAATCCTTAATTTCTTATATTCCTGAGGGGCCATTAAATCAGAAGTAGCCCATCACCCATGATTTTTATTTTTAACAGTTTTAGGCAGGCAGGAAAAACAAAAAACAAACAAACAAAAAAGCAAGAGCAGACAACTAGCGGGTGGTGTCAGTTTTTCAGTGTAATTTGTCACAAGTGTTTTTTAACTTCTGTAATGAAGAACCAACTTTAAATTTGTTTGGTTTTGTACATACAAGGTCAGACTAATTGTGAGATGAGTTGGTATGTCAGAAACGAAATGCATGGCTGCCCAAAATAACCCCAACTCCACTTATTTGTGATAGTGACAGAGATAATTCCTCCTAGATACACATCCTTTCTCTATTGAGCATGATGGGGGAACATTTGACCTCTCAGATGTTTGGGTTACAGCACTCATAAATCCTTATCATTAACCATACTGATTGGGACTGCCAAAAGTCTCAGTTTTGCTTTAAAGGACCTGCTTTGCTTTACCATAGACAGTGCTTCTGCAAAGCACCTGATCTTTCATGCCACCTCCTCAAATAGTTTTGTTGGTGCCAGTGTCAGAATGTGGCACCAATTCATGTTATAAGGGATCTCAACTAGTGGTGAGGCAACAGACAGATAGGCTTTTCTAGATCTGGGTCCGGAGACATCTGCTTCCTTCTTTGCCCTTTCTAAAGATCACTTCCTATTTCTTGCTGCTCCTTCATTTTAGCTAGAGAGAGGAGGAACAGTCTGTACATGTGGAAGGTACTTCTAAGGGCTTCTGTAAATAAATGTAAAGCCCGTTTTCTTCCTATACTATTCCAAAAGTAAATTTCTTAATATAATAAAACAAAAGTTTCCTTTTTGTCTTATTATCAGTCTCTTAAAACCATTCTTCATCAATAGTCACATTGCACTCTGTAATTTAAAACTGCAAAAAAATCTTAATAGCCAGATACATGCATTGAATTCAGACACCTTATAGTACTTGTGTTGGTGCTATAAAGTGGTACATACTGTCTAGAGCAGGAGTGGGGAGCATAAGGGTCTCCAGAGGATTTTAGATGTGTAGCTCCTGTTTTCAAGGGCTATGCTGGTTGATGGGAGCTATTTGACAACAATGCACATGTTTCCGTTGACCTGAAATTCAGTTTTTTGGGGGAATGAAGTTTTGATTCCTTTGTTTTCTACTTAAGAAATTGTTTTATGAAATACTCTCATATTTACATACTCCTGCAAATCAATTTCACTATACTTTATTTACTCCTTCAACTTAGCAACCATTACATATCTTGGCATGGAAAGGGGGTGGTGGTAGTACATGGCTTTTATGTAGCTACATGGAATAACAGACTCTCTTCCATGGATTTTGATTCGATAGATCAAGGGAGAGCTAAGGATTATTCGTCCTTCTCTCATTTTTCTCATCTTTTTTTAAAAAAGTCTGTTGTTGACATTTGTTTGCAAAGCCATTTCTCCGTTTGCTATAGGTTTAGCACAGGAAGAGTGGTATCCAACATCCAGCATTCTGATTTGAATTAAATAACGAGTGGGCATAGTTGGGCAAGCTAGACTACTGACTGGCGACACTAAGGGGACATCTTCCACACCCTAACACATCCATTTTTCTAAGCACAGCTCCTGGGAAGGAAGGCAGGAAGGCAAGAACTGAATGAGTGGGCAAACCAGCAAGCTAGTGGGAGCTTTACCTACAAACTGAAGGTTCACCAAATCCTTGTGCAGTGACTCTCATCCTTTTACTTCCCACATTTTCAGAATTTTCCCTTCCCAGACTAGAAGTGCCTACAAAATTCAGCTGCAAGCAGTGGATCTTTAAGACAAGTGGGGAAAAAGTGAAAATTTGCCGCTTGTTGCCCTCTCCTGTCTTCTGGGAAGAAGTTTTCTATTTTAGTAAAAAATATAAGTAAGGCAGTGTTATCTTCACTGTCCTAATAGAGTATTTAAAAAAATGAATTTCACATCCTCTGTGCTTCCCTGGAGGCTCAGAGGAAATGTTTAATTTGCCAGTATCCTGAAGTGGCTCTCTTAAGCCACTTCACGATATGGCAAATTGACAGTGGAAGGAGCCAGATCAAATAGAGTTGCTCGAGCTCTGTATGTTATTTGGATGTGAGGATCTCACCAAATTGCATACCAGATCTTGACCCCCACCTCTAGCAACCCTATTTAGCCTGCTCCAGCCCACTCCAATGGCCACATGTAAACAAGCCCATAATGCAAAGAAGAAAATGTGGATTCTTTCTCTGGATGTTTAAGAAAACACAGATTGAGTATTAGAAATAATGTGAGTCTTACATACACATGAAGGAGATGACCTCTTTTGAATGTTAACTGAACCCTAGTAATTTCTGTATATGTATTTTAAACTTCCATAATTGAAAGTGATGGCATATTCCTGGCAGGAAGAAATATTCGCAGGACTATGATTAAGTAAAGTGTCTGGATTTTCTACGAATATTTGTTAAACACCAATGAGATAATTATGTTTCTTTTTGCCTCTGTAGATTGTACAAGATTACCTGTGACATGAATATATCTGTGGCAACTTTTGCAGGGGGCCTGTGGTTTGTGTGATGAGAAGAAAATGGACCTCTGGGAAGTGCTTTTGAGAAAGTGATTACAGTTCCAGATTATCTCTCAGTGTGGTTCCAAATTGAGAAAACCCCAACATGAATACATCACTTCTCTCCTCCTCAGTAGGAAATTATTCTGTTCAGAATTTCACAAAGGGGACATCCGGACTTCTGCGCTTTCCAGATGATGACTGTCCCGTGCCTTTGGCCATGATTTTCACGTTAGCCCTGGTTTATGGTACTGTTATCCTTCTTGGAATTTCTGGAAATTTGGCCTTGATCATCATCATCTTAAAACAAAAGGAGATGCGCAATGTGACCAACATCCTCATAGTCAATCTTTCCTTTTCGGACCTCCTGATCACCATCATGTGTCTACCCTTCACTTTTGTCTACACCTTAATGGACCACTGGATTTTTGGGGAAGTAATGTGCAAGCTGAACCCTTTTGTTCAGTGTGTCTCTATCACAGTCTCAGTTTTCTCTTTGGTCCTCATTGCTATTGAACGCCATCAGCTCATTATCAACCCTCGGGGCTGGAGGCCAAATAACAGACATGCTTATATAGGGATTGCTGCTATCTGGATTGTAGCAGTGGCTTCATCGTTGCCTTTCTTGGTTTATCATGTACTAACAGATGAGCCTTTCACAAATCTAACAATAGAGGAGTACAAAGGAAAATATGTGTGCTTGGATTCATTTCCAATGGAGTCTATCAGGCTTTCGTATACCACAGCTCTCTTGGTGATACAGTACTTGGGGCCACTTTGCTTCATATTCATTTGCTATTTAAAGGTAAGCAAACTCATCTTTTGCCATTTATCTTTCCTGTTCTGTTTTGCTGTTTCCAAACACATATTTCTAGGGCCAGCAATAGACATTAGAGATAGTCCATGACTGGAAGAGGGAAATTCTTAACTGATGTAGACATCTCAGTGTCACAGCAGGAACTTTTCCTATCTCTGAGATTATGCAGATTAGCTTGTTTTGTTTGGTGATTGGTCTTCAGGATCTAAGGGTTTTTGAAATCTGGCTGTCTTCGTTAATATGCTTTCAGCTCTAATTATGGGCTATCTCTAAATTCTGTTTCTGGCCAGGGATACACAGTTTAAGGTGACAAGCCTGTTGTTAAATTTTTGTTTCCTTACAGATATACATACGTTTGAAAAGGAGATGCAGCATGATGGACAAGATGAGAGACAATAAGTACCGATCCACTGAAACAAAAAGGATCAACATCATGCTTATTTCTATTGTGGTTGCATTTGCTGTGTGCTGGCTGCCTCTCACTGTGTTTAATACGGTCTTTGACTGGAATCATGAGATCCTCCCAGCAGCCTGCAGCCACAACTTGTTGTTTTTGATTTGCCACCTCACAGCTATGATCTCGACTTGCGTGAACCCTATATTTTATGGATTCCTCAACAAAAACTTCCAAAGAGATTTGCAAGTTTTCTTTCGTTTCTGTGATTTCCACACAAGGGATGATGACTATGAGACAATAGCCATGTCCACGATGCATACTGACATTTCAAAGACCTCCTTGAAGCAAGCCAGTCCGACTGCATTCAAAAAAATCAGTGATAGTGATGATGAAAGAGTGTAATTTCTGAAACTCTTGTTGTGGGTGATGCAGTTTCATGGACAAGCACAATCTTTTTTTAAAAAAATATTGATCTCTTTCTTACCCTAAAGAAGCTCAAAAATGTTGCTTTCATATCTGTATTGTTCAACTACTGTTGTGTGTTTTTGTTTTGCTGCTTGTAAGATCCATCCAATTTATATATAATGAACAGTGAATCCCTTTCTGCTTTATGCTTCCATCATGTGTCTACCCCAAGTTTATTTGATCACTGATGTATCTTTGTACTAAGATTTATTTACTGTATTTATTTACAAGAATATGCTTTTTACTGGGAATACATATTGCTTGGAAAGCTGTCTCCAAAGCCTTAAAAAATGAAGGCTCTTCTGCTACAGAAGTAGGTCATTCTGCTTTGAATTGCTGCTTTAGTCTTCAAAAGTCCTACATGCCAGAGGCAATTGACTGTCTTGAAAGCATTATTCCAAAATATGCAGATTAAATTAAAAATATATACAGTATATATCTACACATCTGAGTTATTGAAAGATATAAATAATTCAAAATGAAAAGTCAGTTTCATATTAAGAATTAGATTAATAAAGGTCAATTTTAAGATTAATTAAAACAAATAACCAGCTGTGGAGACATTCCAGGCGAACATTAACTCTTTGAGGCTGAAGTTTTAAAAACACATAGAAGGGAGTAAATCTCATTGAGCAAACCACCAGTGACATTTAGGTAAGTATGGCTAGGATTATATGGCATGATCCATAAATATAAATACAATTGTTAAGTTATTGTCTAAGAGTCTGATATAGTGAGAGAGTATCTATATATAGCAGCTTCCTACTCATTTTAACTGTTTTGGTTCCATCCTATGGAATTCTGGGATGTTTGTTTTAATTGCTTATAACACTGGAGAGCTGAAGTGTTGTAGCCCAAGGGAGTGTAGTACAGCTGTCTGACAGAAGGTCCCAGGATTCTGTTGGATAGCTCCAAGGAAGTTAAAGTGGTGTAAGATACATATGAACTTGTATACAAATATACTCTTGACCTTTGAACGCGTGTAGTTTCTTGATCATCTATTCTGTAACTAGGTATGGTTGAGCAATACTATTGGTAGATGTACTGTATCTACAAAAGTATTTGACTGTATTTTGGGTATAAATCCTATGTTTTGGGTACAGAACCTGTAGCATTGTGCTTTTCCAGCATGGAAGTTATTGGAAGGTTATGTTTATTTTGGCAAACGGTGCATGGCAAAAGGATCGGCAGCACATTTCCCCCAAGTGCCACATTCTCACCGCTCTACCCTTCCACTACAAAACAATTTTTTAAAAAACCCATAAATCTATCACAGCCCTTTAATGACCCTTCCAGACATTTTCTAAGTAGAGGAACTCCGCTTCCTATAAGTGAGCTTCTCATGACACAGACAACAAAATGTTACTGACTGTTAGTTAGGCCTTGTCAAACTACCGTGTTTCCCCAAAAATAAGACAGAGTGTTATATTAATTTTTTGCTCCAAAAAAGGCATTAGGGCTTATTTTTCAGGGGATGTTTTATTTTTTTTCATGTACAACAATCTACATTTATTCAAATACAGTCATGTCATCTTCTTCTGGTTGCTGCTCAGTGGTGGAGGGCAGGGTTTCACTTAACTGGGGCTTATTTTGGGGGTAGAGCTTATATTACGAGCATCCTGAAAAATCATACTAGGGCTTATTTTCAGGTTAGGTCTTATTTTTGGGAAAACAGGGTACTAATTTTGTGGCCTTGCAGTTGATTAACACAGTTACAGTATGTGGGCTGATTCTAAATCTAATAAGCAATTTTATCCTTTCTTTTAAAAAAAATCAGGTTATAAAATAAAGTATGTTCCTGGTGATCTCATCCTATTCATATAATATAACTGAGCTTCATAACTGCAATATGAAGTTATTGTTTCTGTTTAGATTTCTTAATATATCCATATTATAAAGATAGACTCAGCTAGTATATAGTTTCTAATGCATTGTTCTAGCATTTGTTAATTTAAGGTTAATTCAAATCATCAAAAAACCCTCCATTTTATGAATGTGAGATATTGTGCTTTTGTATCCACAATTCAAAATTCCAGGAAATGGCCCAATATTGCTGCACAATTCACAACATGACACAAAGCAAGGGGAAATTCCAGAAGCTGACTCCTTTTTCCATCAGTTAACCACTTCTCACCCATATAGAAAGCAATTAGAGCTGTTTTTCAACAAGTGTGAATGGTACTGAGCATAAGAGGGTATCCTGTAAATCAGGGATCTCCAAACTTGCCTTTTTATCCGGTCCGGTTTGGACTCTAGGACCTTTCCCACTGCACCACCACCTCCTTTCCTTCGCTAACAGTGCCTGGCAACAGGACTGGTCTCGGGCTCATCCCCTGCCCTAACACACACACTCTTAGAGAGGATGGGCAAAGCATGGCAGTGCCCTCGCACTATTCAGGACGTGACCACAGGGTATGGTTACCAAGAAGGCCCAACACGATGCATGGTTTCATTTGCGACTCTCACCTGTCACCTCACCCCTGCGAGGAGAGGTGCTCGATTTGAGCACGAATGAGGAAGAATGGGAAACCCAAGCACTCTTTGATGGCCAAGAAACAACCTGGGTGAGTGAAGTTCAGCTCTGCGTGAGAACTTGGGGGAAGTACTCCTTCCTCCTGATCAGCCACAGGTTCAAGTCCCACTTCAGCGAACTCCGTTTTGGATTCTGAATAAGCCTCTCTCCACACTTCCAAAGACCATCACCTGGCACAGGAAGGACCGGGGTGGGAGGGCAGGATTGCCTCCTTCGGTGGCGAGACCAGAGGGGTAGACGGTGACCATTTCATGTGGTTTCTGCATCTTGAACACGGGCTGTTCATTCCTTTTTCCACCCACCTCTCCTGACACCCCAGGTCTTTCACAACCTCTTCCCCAAGTCCTCATCGCTCACCTCCACCCTTGTCAGCCCCACCCGTGTCCCAGTGATAAGCGGGACCCTAGGTGCCCTCTTGCAGTGAGAGGAACCTTTGCACGGTGACCATTTCATGTGGTTTCTGCATCTTGAACACGGGCTGTTCATTCCTTTTTCCACCCACCTCTCCTGACACCCCAGGTCTTTCACAACCTCTTCCCCAAGTCCTCATCGCTCACCTCCACCCTTGTCAGCCCCACCCGTGTCCCAGTGATAAGCGGGACCCTAGGTGCCCTCTTGCAGTGAGAGGAACCTTTGCACTCCTGATTCCCCCTACACTCACCTCTTTCTCTTCCAATAAATAAATAAGTAAGATGGTCCTCTCCCCCCCCCCCCCCCCCGCTGCTGTCACTACTCCACTCCCACCCCCGGGGCATTTCTCCCAAATAGTTTGTAGGATTTTATTATGTATGCTTATTGCTGTGTTTTATAATTCATGTAAGCTGCCCCGAGTAGACTTTGTCTAGAGGGGCTGGGTAAAAGTTCAATAAAAGTAAAAAGTAAAATTCCTTCTCTACCATGGTGTTGTGCTTTTCTCTCCCTCCCTTTCTGTCCACCCCTCCGCCAGCCTCTCTGGATTAAAGTTGCTTGCTTTATTCTAATGATTTTGCTCTTACAAATTTTGTAAGAATAAAGTATGTCAAGTCCAACTATCAAGCAAGTTTATCCGATGAGCATCTTCAGTCTATTCTAATAATTGTCTCCTCAAGCTTGAAACCTCAGTTCAGCAATATTTTGAAATTAAACAAGCAGTTCCATCATCCCCATTGATATTGTAGTATACAAGTACAAGTTTTTTGATCCAAATAAAACCTATTCATTCATTATAAAATTGTTTTTTTCTTTTTTTCCCCTCCACCCTGTTTCTTTTTTCCCCTTCGGCCCTCAAAAATGTGTCAAATATATGTGGCCCTCATACGGAAAAGTTTGGAGACCTTTGCTCTAAATCATCTCAGTTGCTGACATTGCTATTGTCAACGATCAGGCTGCCCTTCACTATGTAAAGCTTGTCCTCCCTTTTCCTGCTAGGCAATGTGGGCACAATATTGTGCAGCAATATCGGCTTATTTCCTGGATTTTGGAATCATGGGCATAGAAGCATAGTACCCCACATTCATAAAATGGAAGGTTTTTTTTGATGAATTGAATATCCTACCTTTTAAAAATAGAAACTTAAGTATTGATACACTACACACAAATTCCAACAGAAACTTCCTTCATGTAGAATTACCCAGTCCTAGAGGATTCCGAAAGATGATCACATGGTCTGTACTGTGGTTTCTGGGAGAGGACAGAAGCAAAACAGCTGGGATGTGGCTCTAATCCTTCTGTGCCAAAATATTTTGAAGGGCTGCTCTGGATTTAATGAAATGGTGAAGCAAAAGTGTGAGTGAGTGCAACACATACAACACAGAAACATACCTCTCAGGTGAACTTGTTGCCATGGCCATGCTCTAGGATGCAGACTAGAAAGCTATGTTCCAATTTCCAAACCCTTTCATTGGGTTAGCTAAGCAGCAGCAGAAAAGCTATATCAGACCGAAAGCTCTACAAACATGTTGTGTGCATGTTTTGTAAAAGGTATTGCTCTGCCTTTTCAATATTTTTTTAAAAAGAGGGAAAGATGGAAATTAGCAAAGACTGTCGCTAGAAACCAAATCCAAAATCATGTATTCTATGTGAAAGAAAGACAGTGGAGAAAGACTGGGACAAAAAAGTCAACTCATTTAAAATGTGGTGTTGGAGGAGAGCCATTCAGATACTACAGGCAGCCAGAAAAGCAGAAGAGTGCTCAGTCAAGTCAAGCCTGAACTTTCTCTAGAGCAAAAATGAGTAAATTGACACCATCCTACCATGCACATATAATGAAAATACAGAACTGACCAGAAAAGACAATATTGTTAGGAAAAAGTGGGGGAGGGGAGGGAAAGAGGAAGACCTAACATGAGATATATTGACTCATTAAAGGTTAATTTATTATTACAGCTGTTAGTTTGCAAGACATGAGCAGAACTACTGGAAAAGAAAATATTGTTAGGAAAAAGTGGCGGAGGGGAGGGAAAGAGGAAGACCTAACATGAGATAGATTGACTCATTAAAGGTTAGTTTATAGCTGTTAGTTTGCAAGACATGAGCAGAACTACTGGAAAAGAAAATATTGCTAAGAAACAGGGATGCAGTAGGAAAAGAGAACAACCTAACATGAGATGTGGCTCGTTTGCAAAA